CCCCAAAACCCCAAAACCCCAAAACCCCAAAACCCCAAAACCCCTATTTAACAATTTATGGTTGAATATTTTGCTCTTTAACTAATTCAAAGAACTCTGGGATGAATAGGGCAGTTCCTTGTATTTACACCAGCACAATTCCAATATCTTCAGGCTTGATGCTTGGCAATCTGTAGTTGAAGAGGTAGTAGTGGAGATTTCCAGCACTTTGGATGAACTTTAGCTCTTCCATTACGGCTTCGTTGTCCATGACATTGAGCATCTGGAAGAGGTCGAAACCCTCATTTTTAGCCATGATTGTGGCATCTTTTAGCAATTTCTCTATAGGGGTCTTTGTGCTGCAGTGATACCAGCAGTAAGCTACATTCATTAGGTCATACTTCTCATTATCAAGGATTGATGAGTTGAGGGCATAGAAGGAGACAAAATCAGTTATTTCCTTAGTCTCAGGATCCTCAACTACGTAACTATAGATGACTCCTTCTCTATAATTGAGGTAATGGACTGCTTCTTCAGGACTGAAGCTCATAGACACTTTGAACTTCGAAAGGTATTCCTTGACCAGAGGGTAAACTTTCTTAATATCCTTCTTTCTTAGTTTCCTGAATCCGAGAGTTTCTGGTTCATCTGGGAGGCTGTACAACTTTTTCCTAAAGATAAGCATTAGTTACTTACTTGGCAGTAAAATGCTTAGTCTTCTTGCTGAAGCCAATATCTACGAGCTTCTTGTAGTTCAATGGTCTGTGGTAGTAGAGTGTGCCAGAGAATGGCTTTGGAATGAGAGTCCCAGAGGTATAGATAGCTTGCCAGATATCAGTCCTGTTGATTCTCCTGGTAACTTCTTTAATCAGTATGGGGGAAAGACGTTTAGATCTAAGCTTTTTGTGGACGCATAAGAAATTAATCTCACTTGATTTAACTTCTTCTCCCATGATATTTAAATTTACCGGAATTCCTGAGATGAACGCAAATAATTTTTGGCTCTTAGTAGCTCTGACACCAATATGCCATTTAGGCTTATAACCTGGAGGGCAAAGAGCCCATTTAAGGAAGTCAATAGTGTAATCAAATCTAAATGAACCCTTATCATCTTCAACATAGTGCTTATTGAGTAGGTCATAGAGCTCCTTTGCATGCTCCTCGTTATGAATATCAATCTTGCACCATTCGAATCCATCTGCCAGTTTGATTGGTTCAGTATCGATTTCATCTTTCTTCTTCTCTTCAATTGGGCCAGGAGTTACTTTCTAAAATTATTAGAAATCTGTTTGAAGATTCTACTTACAGATCTGCCCATGGTCTCTGTTACTTTTTGGACTGGCTGGGTATCCCAGAATGCATGAGGTTGGAACAATGGCTGCATCTCCTTGAACTCTTCAAGTTTCTTGTGAGCAATCGGGTTATCCTTCATTAGTCTAATGAAAGTTAGGAACTATCCTTTCAAACACACCTTTTGAGGGGGCTTTCCAAGATCTGAGATTTTGTAAAGGACTTTTAGACGAAATTTTGAACAAGGAATTTGATCCAAGCTTTAAATAAGCTCTATTAACTCATGAATTGAGACTAGATTGGTTCAACTTGCTCAACAAATTTCAATAATTTCCTCCAAAATGACTTACTTTGAGATGGCCTCCTGCATTAGTTTGGCATTATCAGGAGAAAATCTCTTCTTGGATTCTTTTTCCTAAAGCAAATATGTTTCAGACAAATATGTGAAATAAATACCCTTTAGAGAAGTTGTAGCTTACCTGGGTTGGTTCTTCAACTTCTGGGTCTACAGCTGCTGCTGTTTCCTGCAAAGATTCTTTCTCAGTTGGCTCCATTTCTGGCTTAATTAATAATTAACAATTATGCAAAGAGTTGATGGGGTTTTGGGGTTTTGGGGTTTTGGGGTTTTGGGGTTTTGGGG